TGGCCAGAAGTCTGTCGGTCATTTGTGAACGATGAGGCTGTAGAGCTGAAAACTCACTCCACTGGAGCGCTACATTCAGGCACTGCCAAAACTCTGGTGGTCACATGAAACAGTGAAAGAATTGCCCAGAACAAGAGAGCGTTCTGTCCTTTAGCAATACCCAGGACTTAGCTGTAATGCTGGACTGTTTTGTGTCAGTGGGTCACATGACATGAAAGCTATTAATTATTTTCTCAATAATGTTTGGTTCGGTGATTTATTGACGGTCCCTAAGAGTGCAGCTCACCGAAACCAGGCTGCCTGCATCAGATCGAACGAGACGAAGACACCACTGAATCCGAAGAGCTCCAATATCCAACCTAGAACTAACTTCACAGCAGTTTTTAAACTTTAGATTATGGGTAAAATATCAAGTCTTTTCAAGTAAACAGGTCAAAATCCAAGTCAACTCAAGTCTGACTTGAATCTACGTCAAGTTAACTCAAGTCCACACCACTCAGAGATCAGTTTTGACCAAAACTTCACTGGAAACTTCTTAAAAAAAAAATATATATATATATATATATATATATATATGAAAACAACATCTACAAAATCTGACTGTCTGGCAATGGCAAAGTGGTAGAAGAAAAACAATCAAACCGTAACAAAGTACAGCTGTTCCAGTTGTGTGACTGTATATTTCTCTACAAACTCATTTCAGTTTTCTTCAGCCACTTGCTTGTTCGCAGTGTAGTTTTAATGATTTAGACCTGAGAAGTGAGAAGTGTCAGGCTTTAAGTCTTTTCAGTCTAAACAGTTTCAGTTGCCTATTTCCTAAACACTGATGTAGTGAGTCACGTAGGTACGTGTCACTTGTTGTATGACAAATATATGTGGTATATATTTATGCATACTTTTCACGAGTTCTTCATTTTTCTGACTGTAAATGCCGTGCATTGAATTTAACAGAAATGCGAACGAGAGACGTCATTATCTTTGACCCATCAAATGAATGGAGTCATTTATTTTCAGAATCAAAGTTTAACATCAAACATTTACATTAATTTGGCAAAATATGAAAATAATAACAGACAGTTTCACAGAAAATGAACTTCAAATCACTCGGCGGTGATTTGAGGACTTTGCTTCAGATATTTCTAAAAATATCTGTACTGATTTATGAGAGAGAGGTGAGTTTAAGAGGAAATTGAGATTTATCTTACAGAGGAATATGTGAGGGAATTTAATCTGTTTAACCAGAAATTGCACGCTCCATCAGGTATCTCAGCTTGTCCCAGGTACACTTTAGTCGAAGAAGAAACCGTTACCTTGTTGATGATCGATCACCTCAGTAAGAATCCTTTTCAACTGATATCAGCGTCTCCGTTGAGAACAGCTAAAATCCTTGGAGAGTCGTGCGTGGTTAGCTCAAAACAGAATTATAATCCCAAAACGTCTCTGGATTCTAGTAACTCTGACTCTTCATTGTCAGCAGCTCTCAGACTCTTTCTCCAAAACTCTCCATAACTCTAGTTTTCTTCTGAACTCCTTCAGAACTTTTTCATTCTCGGAATCTTTTCCATTCTATCATTCTAACATGAACTGGGAAGTTGCCACCTTTTATTTGGGTCGACTTCCGGTTCAATTTAGAGCTTTCTGATTCGTGGATGTACCAGAAAGAGGTGTGGTTTTTTGACGTAAGTTATTATCAAAAGTCAAGGATTGTTTTCAACATACAGAAAAGATTATTGCAGTCGACCAGACTTCGTGGAGTCTCACACTTGGTAATCTTTTCAAATAGTAAAACATGACATTTCTTCTTCAGTAAACATTTAGTTGACCGAAGCTTCAACTTTCACACACTTACGCCTTGGCTCATTTCAGACAGAAAATCAAGAAATGCATATTCAGGCGATTTCTTCTTTGAATGAGGAATAAAAATCATTACTTACTGTTTATGCAAAACAAAGATGAGTAGTTCTTTTCAACCTATAAGCATTGAGTGAAACTAACACAATTTGATTATCAAAACATTTGTAAGACAGTAATGATTATAGAGGATTGTCTTTTCTGCTTGATTAATTCAAGAAAGAAAGTCATCAGATGGCCCAGACTTATTCAGATCAATGAAAATAACAGTCTCTGTCCATCTGGTAGATTTGAGGTCAGATCATCAGGTCATCTGGTTCACTACACTGACAAAGTCCCAAACTGTGGCCTGTTGAGACTACAAGCCCCGTTCTTGAGTAAGCAGTAAGTTTGTCTGAACTTCATCAAGAGATATCAGTGAAGCACAAAACACGAGAAAAGACGAGAAATTCTCTACTCTTTGCGTTTAATGACCTGTTGCACCTGCCAGTGCCATTTTCTTAATAAAGCTGCAATTTAGTGCAGGGAGTGACCCTGATCGGCAGAGACCTTGGAGCCCTCACAGCCTCACCCCCCTCACACACACACACACACACACATACACACACAGGCAGAAATGCTGATCCACATTTGTGCACATAGTTGTCATGGAAGATAAGATCTAGATCTGATGACGCATTTTGACCACTTCTGAAGCCCAGGTCAATCTGTCCTTTCACTGATGGATCCATCTGCTCTGAACTTGTACTCTGATGTTGACTGGTGCTTTGGTCATCACAAATCTGTGACAGCTCTCTCCGAGTGTATAAATACAACTCTCTTTCTTCTTCTCAAACATTGTCTCGCCATCAAACAATGTTCAAGAGAATGTCTCACCTCATGAGGTCTGCATTCCAAATAAATACTCAAAATAAAGTTCCAAGCCTCACATATTCTCATCCCGACAGCTGTTTATTTATTGACTTGTGTATTTAGAATGGCAATACAACAATATCACCAGATGTTCTTAAACATTCAAAAAGTAAAGGAAATCTTGTGAAACAACTATTCTCAGCCTTTTCTCAAATAGAACCATAAATTCCAAACGTCCATGAGTGCTGACCACACTTTAAGAGCTTCAGACTGCTGAGACTCCAAACGCACTGATGAGGCACTAAATGTGATCAGCTCTTTCTTCACAGCCAGCCAGATAGAGTCAACAGCCATCTGTCTGAAAAAGACCTGGGTCACCACATAGTGCTAAAAATACAACCTCACATCTGTAAAGTCTACCCTCATGAATCTGCACGGGAAGCAGGGACGGTGGGTTGCACTTCTCTGTAACCCACCCTGCAGTATACAGCCACATAACCCATTTTACAACAGCTCTAACAACAACAGAGGCATGTATTTGTCTATCAATCAACTCTAAATCAGTGTGCAGTGAGGAATACAGTCATGAAGCAAAGATTATTTAACATAGAGTCTGAGAAGAAATGCAAATAAGAGGTTTCTGCAAACAAAATGTTAATCACATCTCAAGATACGTAATTTCACAAAGTAAAAAAAAAAAGTCTATATCAAGCAGGATATGCTTCTCATCACTGTTAAGCTTGAAGTTGTTTCTGCTTTATTGCTTTTGGGTCAAACTTCCTTTATGAGCACAAAAGGAAAAGTGTTTGTGCTGATACAGATGTTTAAAAGGTGTTCCAGCTGTTGTTTAGCTGAGGTGCACAAAGATGTTCAGGAAATTGGCATTTCAGTTTTTTTTACTCTTCCTGAGATCGTGGTGAATGCTGTATCCAGGACAACCCAAACAACAAGCAGCTGTGTGAGGCTGCCCTGACTGTATTTTATGTTATTTGAAGACTTAAAACCTCAGCAAAGATAATAAAAAACATCCTTAATAGGCAGATGCACCAATAGTCTTATACATTCCATCAATTTGCAGCAATTACAAAACACCATCAGTCATTCAGACATACTGTGTTTAGCAAAACAGATAAAAAAAAGTCAAACTCAGAGATTTGAGGAACAGTAATCTTGAGATCAGTCAAAATCTGTGATTAGGAAAATTTTACACTGGGTCCAAAAATAGCATCAGATTGAACCGATGTGCTAAACCGACAGATACTGTCATGTCACAAGCTTGGTAAATATTAATGAGCACCTGTCAGAAAACTTAGTTATAACAATTCAGAGCTTCCTGTATAGATACCAAAATAACAACAAAAATAAATAAATTATAAATACACAATAATATAAAATTATATTATTTGTGATTTTTACACTGCATCCCACTTACATTTATACAGTACATAACAACATATTACAGGGCCGTGCAATGATTTTCAAAAATTTGCATAAAAAGTTTGTGCAGCTGTTATTCAATGTAAAAAGGCAGTTGTTTCCCACTGGCACCAGATTTCCTGTCTAAATGACTGCCAGCCAGTTGCTCTCACCAGTGGTGATGAAGTGTTTTGAAAAGCTGGTCAGGAGTCACATCACTTCACTCCCCCCACAAAACCTTGACCCCCCCTCCCCCCACACCAATTTGCTTACAGAGCTAATAAATAGATCAACAAGGATGCCATAGGCACAGCCCTCCATGTTTCTGTGTCCCACCTGGAGGAAAAAGAGAACTATGTACGGATGTTCTATAGCTCTGCTTTCAACACAAATAGCTGGACAAACTGGGGAACTGGGACTTCCACACTCCGCCTGCACATGAGTAAATAGTTTCCTGTCTGACCGCAGTCAGAGCGTTCGAATGGGCCACCATCACACATCCATGGCCCTCAGCCTCAGCACGGGAGCCCCCCAGGTCTGTGTGTTGAGCCCCCTGCTCTATGCCCTCTATACACATGGCTGCACCTCTGCTCACCACAGCAACACCTAAGTCAAATTTGCGGATGACACCACAGTAGTGGGGGGCTCATCAGTGTGTGGGGGGGGGGGGGGGGGTGGGACGCCCGCACGGGGGAGGGGGAACAACTGACTGATTGGTGCAGGGGGAACTATCTGCTCCTCAATACCTCAAAGACTAAGGAGCTGATAATTGACTTAAGGGAAAAGAAAATGGCGAAACCACCCCTGATTATAAGCAGAGATGATGTGGAGAGAGTAGCTGACTACAGTTTCCTGGGAGCCCATATTGAAGGGAATCTGACCTGTAGCATGAACACCTCTGGGTTGCTGAAAAAGGCCCAGCAGAGACTGTACTTCCTGAGAGTGATCATGAGGAACATCACCCAGAGACCAGAGACTGCTGTCCTTCTCTTATGCTCCATAGAGAGCATCTTAACATACTGCATCACTGTGTGGTATCTTATCTGCACAGTGGATCAGAGGAAAGAGCTCCAGAGAGTTAACACAGCTCAGTCGATCGTGGGCTGGCCTCTTCTCTCACTGGAAGATCTACACAGTTCATGCTGCATAGGAAAAGCCCACAACATCTTAAAGGACACGTCTCACCCTGGACATGATCTGTTTGAACTGTTACCATCAGGGAAAAGGTACAGATCAATCAAGACAAAAACAAACACAATTAAAAATAGTTTTTATCCGTCAGCCATTACTGAACTTAAGTAAAACTGTAATAAGAACTTAATAAGTGCAATAAGGGACAACTGGTGTAATAATCTGCTCGTGTTGCACATTTGAAGTGTTTTATTTGGAAAGAATACCAAAGTGGAAACTGTGCCCACAGGTGAACGACCCTCTTAAAGCCAAACATGTGCACACCACTCTACATTGATACAATGGACTGATGAAATATGAAGGTAGACAAATATAATCAATAATAATCAAACAATCACTAATATCACATAGCCATAACGGCAGCAATAACTTGCTTAAACCGGCAAAACACAAATGCGTTTGAGCTTTTTACTGTTTAACTGACCTCAATAACTTTACATGTGATATAATAATGTACCGCATGTGATGTGAATGACAAAGGCAATAAAGTCACCTTGAGCCTTGAACCTTGACAATAATAATGATGCTTAAATCTCATTGATGAAAGTAAGAAACGTATTTATCAACATGCACTATTCAGAGCAGCAGTATTAGAAACACATTGCTCTCTTGATGGAGGCCACGTGCAAAAGGTAAAGCACTTGCTTATTATCTAAAGAAAGACTTTATGAACTGTAACAGAGATCCTCTGATGAAGAAGTGCAGGCAGGAAAAGTGTTTGACTCTAAGATGAACACTTGAGCCTGCTGGAGTGGTACACTGAAACCAAGCAGAACCATGAAAGGCCAATGTGAATCTTTATTCGCCATCAGTTGGAACAGTGAGGGACACATTAAGGTCCAGGAAATGGAGTTTAAATGAAAAACATCAACATTGTCTCCTTCACATCTATTTGTCTTAGCTGTTTCCCAAGAGAAATCCTTATACTTGATCTCCTTGACAGTGATGAGTGTCCCCAGGTCTCTGTTGGGTCTAAAGGGCTACAAGAAGTTAGTTCAATGCCAATATGCCTTGTAAAAATGTCTTACTTGGAGCCAAATTGCCACCTAGTTCTGAATCACAAGCTCTTACAGAAAAGCAAGTACAGTTCATATTTGTTGCCTTGCATCAATTGACTGAGGATGGTGTCTGCTTCCATAAACATATGACCATCTGCAGTATATGGTGATGGACATGCTGTGAGGCTGCAGCTGGGACTTGTCATGGCAGAGATTTAACTGTCTCATCAGTCTGTGCCAGGCAGGCTGTATATCAGAGCACTCATCTCCCTTTTAACAAGTCCTCCTGCCCACCTCAGTAGGGAATGCACAAAACAGATGCAGCTGTCAACAAAGAAGAAAGGAGGGGGCCTTGGTTGTTGTTTGACGAGGCTGAGCGTGAGCTACTCCCTGAATCTTTGAGAACAGAAAAGTCAGAGGAGATTCTCATGCTGCAATGGGTCAAAAGTATACTTATTTATCTTTAACGGGAATTAAAAATTTGCCCCACTTAATTCTAAAATCTGCTGGTATGCTATAGCTGTCATGAGCGAGCATGAGGTCTTTCAGAGTTTATTATCCACAGGCACAAGATTGGAGCTTCAGTTTTTGTATGGGATTTATTAAATGTTTCATCACTTCCTCTCCTAAAGGGGACTGGTGGCGCAGAGGTTAGAGAAGGCAAGCCTGTGATCGGAAGGTCGCCATTTCAAATCCCTCGTACCATAAAATCAAAGTATGGGTGGGAAAGTTGAAGCACTCACATCTGCCTCCACCCTCATTTGCCCCACTTTGAGCCTTGAGCAAGGCCCTTAATTCCCCCCAGCTGTTACCACGTGCGCCCTATGGCATGAGCTCCACACATGTAGGCTGTGGTAGCTCAGTGGTCGCATCAGGAAGGGAATCCAGCATAAAAACAATTGCCAAATCTTTGTGCAAGTTCACTTGCTGTGGCAACTACTGAAGAAGGGAGAAACTGAAAGGAAGAACAAAAAAACACATTCCCTCCAAACTAACTGTGTCAGGCAGGAAACTTGGGTGGAAATCCTAGGGAGGTCAGAGGGGTCCAGACCCCCAATTCTGAATAAACACAGAAAGCGTATCTACCATATAGGCAAAACTACACCCGCTTTGTTAATGACTTTCAAAAATTATGTCTTCCCCTCCCTTATCAGCCTGACAGTGATTTGGTCCATTGAACTAACACATATCTGAAGACATCTGGCTTCAAGTCAAACAGATTCATGTGCCTTTCATGTGGGAAACTGGGATTCAGTCACCATTGGGAATTTTATTTTCATTATTATTCTACTCAATTCAAAATATCTTAGCTTTGTGTAGATGACAACAGTAATATTTCTATAATGTTTGAATGGATAATAATAATAAAGAGCTATGTGTTGTCATCATTGTATCTGCATCCATATTTGATGTACAATGACCATTTCTCACCATTACTCACCTTGTAGACTGAAAAAACTGGTATTTGTTTACTTGGTTACATGGCAATGCCTGAAGTCGGCATCTGCGCCGTTCTCTCTGTGCTCATGATTAATTTTCCTTTTTGGATTTTATTATTGTGTATGGATACATGTCTGATGATTTTAGTTTCTGCAAATGGACTACATGGCGAATACGGTAAAACAGTACTATATATGTATGTTTTCTTTTCATTTAATTTTACAACAGTACATTTGACTGTATTTTAAGTGACACCACCAAAAATTGCTCTTAAAAACCCCTTTTTACCCAATAATGAGGTGGATTTCCACCCTTGGCAGGAAACCACCTAGAAGATCTGTAACATTCCAGGCAAAATAGATTTTACCCTCCGATGGGCCCACCATCGCCAGCAACAAAGTGTGTGGTCAGTGTTCCCCCTTACAAACACACACACACACACACACACAGACACACACACACACACACACACACACACACACAAACAAACATCAGACCATGCAAATATGAGCAAAGGTGCATAAACTTGATGCAACATTTGAAGAAACATGACACAAAAAGAGACTGAGAAGTCTGTGTGCTTCTTGTTTGGAGGTATCGATTTAAAACACCACCTTTGAAGGACATCTCAAGTACTTTTACCTAAAGATAAACCGGAAGGTGTGACCTTAAGAAGAATCTGCTCCTGATGATTTGTTTGTATCAATGAGCTTGTGTGCCAGCAGGCATCTGGTTGTGAATACAACAACACTTTCATGGACCTTCATCACCTGGTTTCTCCTCACTGCATCATGTTACCCTGCTGCATACACACTTTATGTTGTGTACTTTAGCCCCCGGCTGCTGTACAGACTGGAGCTTCTAATTATAGTTGTCTAACTGACCGGGACACAAAGTACTGGTGGGAGATCAGGTGTTTGAAAATGCTGCATGATGAGACAACGCAACTGGGTCAAAGAAAGGCTGAAGGTGAAAACAAAGATTCTGATTCATCATCCAATCCATTCTTTTGGTACCAAAAAAAGTAAATACATCTAAATGGATTGAAGATGTCAAGATTCAATAAATAAGTTAGTTTCATATCAGTCTATCCAAAGACATTGATTAAATGTTTGAATTAAGCCCATGTTTTCTGCAACATAAACTGCATTTATTTACTTCAAACTGAGACGTTTCAGTTTATAACTTACTGAGACACATATCATGGCACCTCCACAGTGTTGTGTCAGTGACATAGAGGATGTTCTGCTTTTGGAGGAGTTTAGACTGTAAACCGCTTGTAAACATTTTACAGACCGTAAAATGCTTCCAATTTGATATTAGTTTTAAATGTATGCATTTAAATCCGCCATTTATCATGTCCTAAGAGTTTATTTTAATTTAGTGATAGTAAGCTCACAATGTCAACTACTGAAACGAGAGTAAAAAATATTGTTTTACCTTTTTTTTAATGATCCAAATTGTGACTCAAGTAATTTTCAACCAAGAATTAATTCTATAGCAAAGTCTACTGTTATGACTGCTGGTCTATGATGAAAATTACAGTGATGTTCTTTGTCTTTTGGTACAATATGAAGCTTTACTAGATGAAATACTTACGTATTTGTAATATTTGTATGACAAAGGGAATTTTAAGGACTCCATATTTACAGATAAAATATATGTACCGCTCAATTTCACTTAAAGCCTGAAATCTCAGCAATTATTTCTAAGCACTACAGTTCCCGTGAATTTTAAAAGTAGGATTTTACTTTTGAATATTTTCAGTTTTCATCATTGAATAAAACCGCAAAATAAAAAGGAACTGAGGGTATTGTTAGCTGCTGGTTCAAAACAACTATTTTTAAGCCTACTTGGAGCGTGCAGTCATATTTGGACAACAACATTTAAAATGAAACAAAGCTGACTGGTCGTGTTGTCAAGGCTGATTTTCTCAT